TTCTTTGAGTTTTATCGAAATTCTAACAAAGAATAAAATAAATAAATGTAATATGACTTAGTTTTTTATATTTATTCAATGATGAAAAGAAAATTTTGAATTAGATTCGATTATATTTGTTAAATATAATATATTTGAAACCTGTTGGAAACAATTATACTAATATTTCGATTTATCTTAATAAATTCTTCTCGTTAATCTTAGTCAATTTAAGAAAAATGATTTTTTTTTTTATTTTTGTTAAAGAAAATTTAATATTAAAAATGAATATTAAAAAAAACTGGTTGTTTTAATAAAATAATTTTAGTATTTCATAAATATGATACAGAAAGAAATGGTTTTATATCAAATAATCTTCTTGAACAAGTAATAAATGAAATAATTGAATTATCAATAATAAAAATAAATCTAACATTAAATCAATTAAAACAAAGAATGGATCCAGATAATTTACAAATAATAACTGAATCATCATTTATAAAAGAATTATTTCCACAAGATAAATATCAAAATTCAACAAATCATCAACTAGAACCATTAAATGGAAAACCATTTGTTATTTATCATTATAATGGTCTACCGAGATCAAATAAAGATAATAAAGTTCGTTATGCATCAGCTGAAGCTATTATTTCAGATTATGGTTATGGAAATGATACACCTATTTCAGCTGTTGCACCTGTTCAACCAGGTTTGCATTTTTATTTAAATATATTTGTTAAATATTTTCTTTTTTCTAGGAAGTTATTTACCAATAACAGGTCTATTAAGAACAAAATGGCCAACTATTGAATTAAAATGGGATAATGATCTTAAACCATCATTAAACTAAATTGAACATTCTTTTTTTATTCGTTTTATTATTCATGAGACAATTATTTAAAAAATCCAAAAAACAAAGATTTTTATGTTAATAGTATCTTGCTTATTGGCAACGTTTGTTTTTTTTTAATTCATAACGATAAAATCATTAGGTTCTTTTTTTTTTATTCTTTACTTGTTTTATTTAATTGACAATCAATTATTTAGATTAGTTTAATTATATTTAGATATTCCCTTCATCTTATTTCAAAATTGACTCGACTCTTTCGATAAATCCGTTTAATATTCTATCATAAAAAGCAGATTTGTGTAACACTTATGTAAATTAGTTTTAAAGAATTTAAAAAAACAAGTCAATCATCATTATCAGTTTGTTAGATAGTTTTCGTTAAAAGTCTTTTTTTAAATAAAAGTTTAATTTCAAGAATATTTTATTTAATAAAATCAGTTTTGTTTTTCATTTTTAAAAGTGAGGATTGATTTAAGACGATTGAATAGATAACGTTTTTAAAAACTACTATCGGAAATTTTAAAAGAAGGCACCTGGAAAAAAAAGCTTATAACTTTCGAACGAAAAGTCATAGCGACCTGAGGTTTTCAGTAATCGATGGAAAATTATAGAGGGCACATTTTTATATAAAAATCAAGGTTTAAATAATCGGTGATTGTGGAATCTCTGAAAGAGTAGGCTCGTTATTTGGTGAAATCTCAGCAGAACAAGCTGAAACTTTCAGCATATATAGCCTCACTGTACCCCAATCTTCGCTCAAAATATCATCGATAAATCTTTTAATGATGAGGAATGGTGAGCCAATCATCATCTGGTCTTACATAAGGCTCTCATTCAATCAAAATATTAGGAAATGGCCTCAACTTTTGGGTGAATAAATCCCATAATCTAGACTTCATATCTATGGAATTATATCATAGTTTGATTAAATGAACGAGAAGAGACGGTGAAAATATTACTAAATTCTGCATTTTTCTTAAGAAAGTTGGAAAGATTTGTTTTAAAATACTTACTCTATGAAAATCATTTCTTCGTCGAATTTTGGCTATTTCCGTACATTTTTACGATCAAAGTGCGATGCTATTGCATAGATATGAAGTCTGGATTATAGTATTTATTCAGCCAAAAGTTGAGGCCATTTCCTAATATTTTGATTGAATGAGTGCCTTATGTAAGATCAGATGATGATTGGCTCACCATTCCTCATCATTAAAAGATTTATTGATGATATTTTCAGCGAAGATTGGGGTACAGTGAGGCTATATATGCTGAAAGTTTCAGCTTTTTCTGCTGAGATTTCATCAAATAACGATCCTACTCTTTTAGTGATTCCACAATCACCGATTATTTAAACCTTGATTTTTATATAAAAATGTGCCCTCTATAATCTTCTATCGATTGCTGAAAACCGCAGGTCGCTATGACTTTTCGTTCGAAAGCTATAAGCCTTTTTCCAGGTGCCTTCTTTTAAAATTCCGATAGTAGTTCACTTATTGAACTTATTTATTTTAAATAAATAATTATTCAGAATTTAGTAAAAGTTTAATAATCGATTATAGAATATTTCTTCTATATAGATATCGTTTAGAATATATTATTCAAATAAGAAAAATAGACTTTTTTCATATGTTTTAGAGAATAAATTTTTTTCCAAATATATATTTCGATTAATTCAAAGAAAATAAAATATAATTAAATCTATTTATGAAAATCTTCTTAGAACAAAATTTGATTATAAATATCTTAGATTGAATAATGATGATTTGATAAGTTTTATTGAAGTAAAATCATATTTTATACTTAATAAAAGAATATTTTATTTAAAGTTTGTTATGTGTTAAGATAAATAATTTATTATAAAAAGAATTATTTTTCTTATTTTAAAAAAATGTTTATAATCATTGAATAAGATTAATATTGAAAAATGAATTTCTAATTAAAGAAAAAACGTGATAAACAAGTTCTTTTTATGATTATAGATTTCTCTATTTTAATCTTCAAATAAAATAAATATATTATTTTTCATTTCATTTTATGCATGCTTAGCAGACTTTTAACAAATTTAACTTTACTCACTATTGATATAATTTACTTTTTTACAGTAATTCATCTTTTAAATAATTCATTTTGACTCTCACAATCGTTTAAATAAAACGTTACCATTTAAATTAATATCAAATTCAAGAAAATCATCAAAAAAAAACCTATAAAAACCCATTCATTTTTAGTCAAAATCAATTAAAATCGATTTATTGAATAATGATTGATCATTTTTCCTATATTTCGATCAATATTATTAATTGGTTAAGATTTGTTTTATATTTATTCGATTAGACATCAGAAAGAGTAGAAATCATCTACATCTATTTCGATCTTTAAAAAAAATCTTTTTCTTTCGTTTATCTTTCAGATTTATAAAAAAAACACATCGATTGGAACTAAAAGTATTTGTTCATCAAGGATGACTTCACATATTCGATTTTTTAGAAAAAAAAGTTAAGGAAACTATTGAAATATTCAAGAAAAATATTTATCTTCATCGAAATTCTCACAAAAAAAAAGAAGCGAAAATCTTCTCTTTTATAATTGAAAAGATAATATGAAAATCGTTTGAATAATTTAATAGAATATCAATATAGAATATGTTTTCTTTTCATTATTATAAATCTGATAGATTCCATAGTAACGTTAATCGACTAAATAATGCAATACATTATTGAGATTTTGTTGACGCTTTTACCATAAATAGTATCGATTTGGTTTAACAAGAAAATCGATACCATCTTTCGATTTGACTATGTAATATCAATTGTTTTTTAAAATATAGTCAACTAAATCAAATGATTAATCGATTTTAAAAATTCAACTTTATAAATGAACTTATTAGAAGTTTTCAAGAATTGACAATTCTAATTGGAATAAAAAAAAACTAAGGTCATTTTGATAATGTTGAGATACGTAGAAGAGTGATTAAATCGAATAATTAATTCAGATTTCCGACTAAGGATTGTTTTCATCGAAATCAAATAAATATATTTGTTAACAATGAGATAAACTTCCAAGATTTCGAGTGATTATATAATATTTTAATAATCTATTCATTTTTTTCCTCTAATTTTTCTATTATATTTCAATGACTTATTTATTTGAGTTTTAATTAATGATCGAATTGATAGATCTAATCTTTATGCCTAAAATAAATCAACTCATCAAATAAATAAAATGAATAGCACATCGATTTTTTTTTCATTGAAACAAAATTAATAATAATAATAAGTATTTTATATATTTTGCTAAATTATTTTTATAAAAAAGAAAAATAATCAATTTAATTTGGAGAAAAAGCCAATATAATATTTAGTTTAGGCAAATCTATATGTTAAAAAAACAGATCTTTTCATATTTTCGATTGAATTAAAATAAATAAATAAATATTGAATTATTTATAAAATTGTTTTTTTATTTTAGATAAAATAAAATAATTGAAAATATTCTTTAAATTTATCTTCTTAATATAATTATTAAAAATAATAACTTAATTTTATTTATTAAAATGTTCGAATTTCTATTTCAAGTAAAATAATTAGAAGATAAAATGAAATATTCTCGAATTAAATCAATAAAACCGATCTATTTTAATATGAATTGATAAACAAAAAAAATCTCGAGAGGCTATTTCCTATTGATCATACCTGATATGTCTGATAATTATTTGACGATCTATACATAGAAGACACAAAACACAATTAACATTTTATTCTCATTTAAATCATTCGTCATGCGAGATTTATTCGACTTTTTTTTTAAATATAATATTCGATCAGATTTAATTTAGTATCAGAAATAAAATAATCAAGATTAATTTAAGTCGGATAAAAAAATTTGGAAAAAAAACCAATTTCAAAAAAACGTCATTCATTTTTTGTTGTCATTTTTCGTGTTTTTTTTTCTCATTTATTGTTTTATTGTTGACGTCAATTAAGTTTTTTTTTTCTTTGTTGATTATTGTCTTTAATGTATTGTGCATTGTCGGTATTTCTACTGTCGTTATGTTATTTATTTAGTTGATACTAATAATGATAATTATTTATCTTAATTATCTATTGATCTATTTATATAAAAATATTATTTTCAATATATTTCTAGAAATATATATCAATGATTAAATATGAATAAAAGTAACACAAATTTGAAACGAACACATACAATGTTGGGTTTTTATATAAAATAATATTTTAATTATTTTCTTTTTATTTTATTTTACTTTAGTGAAGATTCAAAACATGCACCAGCAAAAAGGTAAAGACTATTTTATTCTTATTTCTATTTAAGAATTATTTTAATTTAATATATTAGACAATTTCGAAATGAAAATGAAAAACGTCGTCGTGATTTATTTAGTCAATTAGTTGCTAATTTAGAAGATATTCTTAATATTGAGAAAAAATCTTCATCAGATGATCAAATAAATAAAACATCATCATCATCATCATCACAAACAAATAAATTAGATAAAGCTTCGATTTTATGTGAAACTGCTATTTATTTAAGAAAACATCATCATAGTAAGATTTATTCTTATTTATATTGAACTTTTTTTCAAGAAAAAAAACTAATCTATCTATATATATATATAAAACATAAATAGAATTAACAATTGAACCAACAACTCCTTCATCAAGTTCAAAAAGAACAGTTGATCAAATAAATGATACGATTGATTTTTCTTGGAAACCACCATCAAATATTCTTATTAATGAAGAATGGATTCAAACAACAATTGAAGTAATATATCGAGTTTTAAAAACAAACAATAAATAATATTTATTTAGTCAATGAATTGTTTTTTTCTTGTTACTAAATCTGATCCATATAATTGTCAAATAGTTTATGTTTCAAAAAATATAAGTTCATTACTTGATTATTCTCAAGTAAATATTTGAAAAACAAAAAAAAAAACATTATTTTATAAAAGAATATTTATTTAGAATGAACTTCTTAATCGTTCCTTATTTGAATTTATTTCACCACGTGATCATGATCATTTACGTGATTACTTTTTAAAAGATCATAGAGGTTTTATAATAACAAAAAAAAAATAATTGTTTTTAAAAAGAAAAAATTTCTTTTTGTTTTTTGTATTAATTTAGTATTATCACCATGTGATTTATCATGGAAACGAGCAGGAACTGATGAGCATGAACAATGTACAATAATTGGAGCATTTCGACAAAGTTTTATAAGAAAATTATTTTGTTTTTTTATTTGTTAAATAATTTAAAATATTCTTATAGAAAATAGAGAAAAAGAAGAAAATGATGAAAAATATTTAATGTCAATTGTTAAAGTAAATACATTGGATAGAACAATTCTAATTAATAATTTTAATTCAATTAATCAATTTACAACTCGTTTAAATCTTCATGGAAGATTTATTCATATTGATTCCAAGTTTGATTATTTATTTATTTATTTTTTCTTCTACATTATATATATGTAAATAGAGCTCGAGAATTTCTTGGTTACAGTTCATATGAATTAATTGGTCATACACATTTTGATTTTGTTCATCCTGATGATTTACCAATTATTGTTCAAGCACATCAAATATGTTTGTTTTTTAGTTTTCTTTTTTAATTAGACTAAAAAAACTCAAAAAATAAATTGTTTAAGGGAAAACAAATGGAAATGGTAAAAGTGAACCATATAGATTTTTAAGTAAAGGTCAACAATGGATTTATCTTCAAACACATTGTCAAGTTCAAATAAATAGTTGGACGGGAAAACCTGAAAGTTATCTTTGTACAACATATCCTTTACAAAAGTTTTTTTTTTTCTTTACTTTTTTTTATATAAAATGTTTTTTTTTGTTTTTTTAATTTTATCTCAAAATTAGTTCAAGTGATTCTTTACAAAAACCATTATCATATAAATCACTATCTTCTCAAACGGCTAATTATTCGAGTGAATATAAAATCTTTTTGTTTTTTATTCAATTTACTAAATAATCAAATATTTTATTTAAACATTAGCATTATTCAACAAAATAAAACGAGTTTATCTATAATAGAATTCAATTTGAGGTTAACTTGATAATTTCATCAGATAATAACGTATATATCGACGTTCGAAACGGGATTAACAACAATCGAGTTTTTCCTCCTAGAAGAATTTTCAATAGGCTATGAGCTTTATTTTTCGTTTTGGTAGACTATCTAGAGATAGAAAATAAATCGATCTATCTCGATTTAAAGATAAAACAAACATTGAATTTCGATTAAAGCAAATAAGGACAAAAGAAAATATGATTTGAAATCTGATAGTTGACATCATTTATTTAAATAATCGAATATTACTTTTTCTCTCTACGGTTCAATACTTTGAAACCATTAATAAAAAGTTCATGTTTAAACTTTTGATTATTGAACGAAAATAGAGAGTTATTTTCTGCTACTAAACAAATCTCATTAACAATTTCCAATGAAGTTTTTTTAGTTGAAACCTTAAACAATAATGGTTAATCCATAGTTTCATCATTTGTTAAACAAGTCAATATCTCTTCAATAAAAATAAACTAGAATATTTATGTCTTTCATTTCTGTTTCGATCTCAAATTTCCCTATTTCAGCCTTTAAACTTTTTCATTCTTGATCTTCATGTTCTGATTTATTGGATTCTACAAGTCAAATCACTAGTTTTGGCTCTCAACTTTTACGTATTTTTCTCCTAAGAAAAACTGTAAGTGAGATTTCAGAAAAAATCTCAAATCTAATCCCGAGATATGATTTTAGGCATCTCAAAACAAAATGTTCAGTTCAATCGGATCAAAGTTTGATGAGAATCGTCATAGACCAGAATACGACCCTACGGAAAACTAAGGTTTAACTGGAAAAATTTCGAAAACCGTTATTGAAATTTTTTTTCTCTCGTCGAAGGTGTATTTCCTTATTTTGGCTGATCTATCTATGGTTATATTCTGTTAGAAGAGATGTGATAAAAAAAAAAGGGTCAGATATACTTATATTTAATATTGACTATAGAAATTGATTTTTTCATAGAGAGAAGTCTACTGCTAACTATATTCGGAAAATGAATGTCTTTATTTGTAACTTTCAGAATAAATTTCGAAATAATAAAAGATTCGATTGAATCCTCAATGTCGAATTTCTTCTTTCTATAAAATAATTTATTCTTAATATAAATAAAAATACATAGAAAAATTTTGGATTTATTTCAAATTGGATTTGAAGAATGAGAGAAATCGACAACTGATAGATTGATTTTCAATTGAGATTATCTACATCATCAAAATCCTAATCAATTATAAATATCCTAAAAAAGAATGAGTTTGTCTTATTATTTTATTGTTACTGAGATACTGCATTTTTAATGCATTTATTTTCAAAGGAAAGCTTTGACCCTTCCTCATAGGAGTCTTAACAAATCTATTCTAGAATTTTTGCGATTTAGCGACCATTATCAAAACACAAACGATTTATATGATTTTTTTCCAAGGCCAAGTCGAAACTCGAATCGAATTCAAACGAAATAGTATAAATTTCAAAACTTTGGGTTTGTTGCACTTCTACTTTCCCTCAGAAAGACTAGATGAACTAATTTTCGAAATTCAACATGAAATTTTGTAGTGAAATAAACCTTAAATAACAATAGTTTGATATAAAAAGTTTCGATCTTTTAATATTCTTCAATCCTGAAATAAAAACATTGAATCTATCAGTATATATAAACCATATAAAAGAATCGCTATAACGATAGACATATCTTAACATAGACACGGTGAAAAGTATGTGAACCTTTCACAATAAACAATTGTGTTTAAGGTTTATCTTGCTGTAGAATTTCAAGTTGAAATTCAAAAATCTATTTATCTAATGTTCGTCAGGAGCGATCGAAGATTTCACTTAAAAAAAAAACAACTAGTGTCTCACCAGAAATAATTGAATAGGAGGAACTCTTTTCTAAATATTGTTAAATGATCAGGATCTACATGATGTTGTTAGTCTTGGCTCGAAAGTGATTAATCATTTGCAGGATTTGTCTATCGAAGTTTTAATAATTCCTATTAGATTTCTTTAAAGTATAACTTTGAATAGAAATAAAATGATAGACAAAATTTTTTCAAAAAAAAAATCCAATTAATCTAATTAAAATGTTGTAAAATAAAAAATTGAATTTAGTTCAAGCTCCTTTAACAACAACAACAAATACAACATCAAAATCAAGTTCACAAAAAAGCGATTCTTCATCCGATACTCAAATAAAGGTATGTTATCAGTTTAATTTAAAATAAAAACAAAATAAAATCAATAAAATTAGTCATTTTTATCTCATCTTGGAAATGAAACATATCGAAGAAATATTCGAGATAAATTAAATGAACATCGATTACATAAACAAGCTGAAATACGTGTTCGAGAAGACGAAATTAAAATAATTGAAGATATTGTTCAATTTATTAATGAATTTGAATTAAAACGTTCAACAAATCTTTCACCAAAACCGTTAAATCCTTCTTTACCTATTTGTGTAACAACAACAACACCAACAACAACACCAACAACAACAACAACAACAGCAATTATCGATTCAACATCTCAAATAAATCAAGAAGGTTAATACTTTTTTTTTCATTTATTTTATCAATTAAAAAAAACTTTAGATTCTACGAATGAAAATAATGAATTGAAAACAACTAATAATCGAACAGTATTAAGTTCCGCATCATTAATTGGTACTATTGATGAATTATCTCTTCAATCTTCATCAATGAATTATCGTCAGAATTCATCAACAGATAATCCAAATATTCGTTTATCAAAAGATGAAAATTTATTTGATACATTAACTAATTCATTATTTTCACCTCAACAAGGTACTTTTTGTTTATCATCACCAATAACATCATTTTCAATTCTCTCGCATTCATCACCAGCAACTTCAATTATATTATCTATTTCACCAACATCAACACCACCACCATCAACACTAACAACAACTGAATTATCACCATCAAATAATTATAGAACAATAAATAATGATAACGATATTATATTATCTTCAACAGAATCAATAACAACAAATCCAAATTCAAATATGATTCCAACAGAACAACCTCCAATAAAGTCATCCTTTAATCGTTCATTACCACATAGTCTTGTTTCGTGATTTTTCATTGTATATAGAAAAAGGAAGACATATTCATTATCTTCCTTGTTAAATAAACATTTGAATACAATATTTTATTTTTCAACGTTTATTATATACAATACATACAATATCATTTACTATTCTATTTAATCATTTTTTCTATTTTATTTTCTCTCATCAACTAAATTCAAATATCATTTTTATATTTTCTATTTGTTTATATTACTATTATTTTAATTAACTAGAACAATTCATTGAAAAATGATATTCGTTATTATCAAATGAATTTTTTCTACTGAAAATCTTGAATAAAGTTGATCATTTACTCAATATTACTTATTAGAAAAAAAAAACCAAGATAAACATTAGGAGAAAAAAAGGTAAATGACCAGTGATGTATATAGATACGCATTTATTTATTATTCAATACAAATAATAATAAACGTCACATTCTTGTAAATATTTTACCTATATTATCGAACAAATTTATTTTCTTTTTCTTTGTATAAACAATGTACTTATCGGTAAAGAACATTGAAAAAAAAGGAATTTTCATTGTTCACTTTCGTATTGTTATTTAGATTTATTTTTGAGCTTGTCCTGATGATTGTTGTTATTGCGGTATTTCACGTGATTAATATGGACCATACGCAACTAGTCTTCTACGGTTAACTTGATTAACACTTTTATTATTATTATTTCTAGATTTTGCTTTTGTATTATGTTTTTTTAGGCCAATTCTAAGTCAATATGGTCGATAATAACCATTTGGAATTTTTATTGTCTTTCTTTTTTCTTTAGTTTGCTAAAAATAAAAAATCGATTTAACGAGTATAATTTACACATTAGAAATCTGATTGCATGTATAGAAGTTGTTAACATTTTTTTTTGTTAAATGATAGTCTTAAGAAGGTGAGAAATACGTGTCATATGTTATTCGATCGATGAATAATGAACATATGTTCTCAAATCATTAGTCTTTTTTTTCATATTAAATTAACTAATATCGATTGAAATCATTAAATATTTTTTTTATTTAATAATCATATTCAATTCAAATCAATATTTATCTATCACAGATAAATTCAGTAAGACATTAAATGACTATTTATTGATTAACATATCTAATTTGATAAAGAAAAAAAAAAGACAGTATCAATTAATGGTAGTTGTTTATCTCTGAATATAATGTATTTGCGTGTGTGTGTGTTGAATGATCGTTAGTTTTCAATGTATATTAAGATGCCGACATCCTTATATAAAGTATGACACCATCATAAGAAAAAAAATTGTGACAATATTGATTGATCGGTGTTATACTATATTCTCTTCATACACATCGATACAAGTAATCGGACACGCGACCTTAATCAATGTTTGTTCATTTCCGTTTCACGCTCTTTACTTTTTTTTTTTTTTTTATATTTACAATCAACCTAAGACGAACCATTTTATCATCAATAGAAATAATGATTTACATGGTTTGTTTTTTTTTGTTTCTATAGATATTTATAATGCAATAAGTCTTGTCAGAAGAATGTTTCCTCATAAATGTATAATCTACCAATTAAATGAAATATTTCTCTGCATGAAGATAAATTATTTTAAAAAAAATTTTCGTTACTACGAAAATGAAATCTCGATTCATCTGATTCACGGACTAAATTCGAAAAAAAACGAAATAGAAATCGATTTATTTAATAGAGAAAAAGTTCATCTGAAAAACGAATGAATTTTATTGTCTAATTAAATTCAAAACTGTTTGAATACGCAATATGAATAAATAAATAAGAAAAGGTGTCCTGATACAAAGTCTATCATCTTATTGTTACATGAGAAACATTTATTTATTCAAATTTTTAAATAAAAAAAAAAATTGTTCAAAGTTTAAACAAATTGTATCTAATGGATGTTGTCATATAGTTGTCGATTCTCTCAATGTCTGATTTATTATTTAGAAATAAAGAAAAATCTCTTATTTTAAGATAATAATTTGTAAAGTTGACGATATAAAAAAAGATAATATATATTGTTTAATAATAAATAAATTCTAATAATTCTATTTGATGATTTAAATGCATATTATTTTCCTCTTAAGTATATGTGAACAATATTTAATCTCTTGTTAACAAAGAATTAAATGAAAAGAAGTTTTTATATTCAAATTGTAATATAATCAAAAGAATATATTAAAAAATATTTTATTAACAATTTTAGTTTGATAGATATTAACTTAATTTATTACAAATATTTTAATATTTATGTAGAATTCTTATTAAATTAATTTCAATTATTCTTATTTTAATCGACATTTAAGATAAAAAATTATTTTTTAAAATCTAAAAGAAAAAAACTTGAAAATATTTGTTTATTCTTAAGAAAGATTTAATAAAATAAAATTAATTTTTAAAGTTTTTTGTATAAATAAAGATAATCTTCTATTAATTAATTAAATAATCTTATTTGAGAATAAATAAAAGTAAAGTATATCAAGAAAAAAAAAATCACAGTATCATTGTAATGTTGATTGTTATGAAATCTGTTTAATAATAATAGTTAAAATCCGAATAAATAATAATCTAAAATAAAAAATGTTGACATATGGTCAATAAAAAAATCTAGTCAATATAATAAATGTAAAATTCTATTCTGATTGATTTGAGGACATTGGTATAAACGATAATTAAATATAAATCAATTGTTCAACTTGTTTTCATTTTATTGAAAACTCTTCTCCATATGTTTTCGTTTTTTTTTCGTGTTGAAAATAAAAAGAAAACGTCGATTGATTGAATATTCAAGTGGATAATTGTTTTAGTCGATCACCACTATGTCAATATTTATAATCATTGATTAGATCATAAGAGATAGACAACAAGAGATTTTCTGGGCGGGATATGTTTTGACGCCACTTTAAGTAGTCACTAGAGACATTTTTATTTTATGCTTCAATTATTTAAACGTTTTTTTTTTATTTTTATTTTTATTTAACGATTAAAATGACAAAAAAAAAGTTCATTTACAAAAACCAAATTTGAATAATTGAATGTTTTTTTTTGTGAGGTTTTTTTGTTTGTTGACCGTAAAAAAGAAGACGATAATCATTATTTAAAATTTCTTTTTTCTTTTTTCTTGATCGATGAATTGAACATTTTGATATAGCCAATTTTGGTGTTGATGTTCGTGGAACATTATATAAACAAACTTTTTTTATTGGTGTACTTGCACGATCATTTGGCAAATCTTTCCACATTTTATCAATCTTCTGCATCGATTTTATCTTCAACATATAATGCGAAACAAAAAACAAAACTAAACGTTTTCATTTCGTTCTCTCTTTCTCTCTCTCTCTCTCTCTCTCGTTTATTTTCTTTTTTTTTTTCATTCGTTCGGAAAATATTCTAATTGGAGAGAAATAATTAAATGAAAACCAATTGAAATAAAATGAATTCGATCGATCGAAATGAAATATTCTTATCTAAGTTGGAGATGACATTCTCATGTGTCACAATAATCATATTTGAATTCTCACATTAACTTTTGTTTAAATGATAAATCAAGATAATTGCATTCTCGTGCTCATCAACTATTTTCATTTTATTTGAGAAGAACTTTTTTTTATCATTTTATATACGATTATATCAACGGATTCGATTACAAATATTTCTTATTATTATTATAATGCTATATCGAATTGATTCTATCATACAAAATACTTCAAATTTTATTCATATTTCAATATTTTATTCAGTTCTTTCTTATCTATTTATGAATATATTTTTTTTAAAAATAGAGATTATTATTTTAATCATCAACTCAAATTTGATATTTTCCTAAAGAAATTTAAAGAAAACTTTCATTGAGATCAATTTAAGATTTTATAATCGAAACAGTTTTGAGTTATTGATAATGAATCTTTTCAAGAATTCTTATCTCTCTCTCTCTCAATAGTTAAAATCATCATTGAATTGAATCTATATGAAAACTTTTTTTCCATGGAATTAAATATTTCGTTCAGATGTTTGAAACGATGGAAGAAACGTGAAAATAAATATGTTTTTTGTAAAATTGTCAATAGTGTATTTATTCAATAAAATATAATAAACTTTCAAATGTTGATAAGATAAACATAATTTAATTGGTATAGATTGTTAAAGAAATGATATATTCAAATTTGAATAAAAAAAATAAATGAATATATAAAATGATTGAAGATATGAAGAATTATTTAAGAAAGAATAAATGTCGATAATGACATTGAATAAATGAATTACGTAAAATATCCAATTAAAATCTGCAGGTAGATCGAACTGCAAAATAATTTCATTATAAAATAAAAAAAAATGAAAATGTGAAAAAGGGGTGTGGTAACATAAGGTATATTTATTCATTTTTCATGTTAAAATGAACAAACATTGTCGGTTGACGAACTATTCTCAAGTGGATAATCTTATAGACAATTCTTTGATCAATACGGTTAACGCTCTACCATTCACATCTAATGAGCTTTCGACACACACACACACATACATCTTTAATTCACCTTTTGTTTGCACACCATCATCATCAATGATCTTTTGAACAAAAAAAAAGAAAAACAAAACAAAACAAAACAATAGATTGAATAGAGAGAGAGCGAGAGGACTAATCATCCATATAGAACCAAAGAGAGATCAATCAATAATGAATAAAATGTTAGTTTTTATTTTAGCCTTAAAATTTAATTTCTAAAGTAGAAAGAAAAAGTAAGCATCAGTCGTTATATAAAAGATTGACTGCTTGAGGCATTAAATAAAATGTATTTGTAAATATATTTCTATAAAATATCTCGTGATTGACTCATTTCTGTTTATCTAAATCAGAATAAATCACTCAACACGTTTTACATATCCGTTTGTCATCATTTTCACAAATTTGTTTTCTTTTATAGATTTTATTAACATAAACAAAAAGGCACATTAGAAATCTAACAAAAATGTCAATTCGTCATGATCAATTATCTAATAGTGAAAAAGAAAAAAAATCCAACGGATATTTTTTTATTTGAATATAAATATAAACTTGATGTGACTTATTTAGAAATTTGTCAAGAATGACAAAGAGACATATTGACAAATTAGTCTATTGTTTTTTCTTTTTGTTTTCGAAGAAAATCATTTTTTGATATTTACTAAAGATTAATCTTAACTTATTCGTTCGATTACATATCGTTAAGTTCGTCTCGAAGTTTTGTTTCGATCTAATTCATTCTGTTGAAATAGTCAAATATTCTTTCGTGTTTTTTTTATTGATTATTCAATTGTTTCTATCGATTACTCGACAATATTCAATGTATTTAAATAAAAAAAAAACGTTTGTATATCTTATTTTAAAATGATATATTTAATATATATTAGATGATTCGTTTTGTTATTCTATCTATAATATATTGAATTTATTTCTAGATAAAATAAACAAAAATGTCTTTAAATGTAAATTGTTTAAGTGACTATTCTGATATTGAATTAATACCATTAATTAATAATAAATCAAATAATTTGATTCATCCAATAAATAATTCATATGGAAATAAATTAATTTCAAAATTTTCATCATTAATTATAGATTTATCATATTCGTCAAATGATATTGAATTATTATTAAAAAGTTTAACAAAAAATTCTTTAAAAATGTCAACTAAAATAATATCATCAATAATTATTTATTCAATGATTATTATTCTTATATTAATGATACTTTCAATTATATTTTATATAATATCATATTCAAATATAAATCAATTTAAATTATCGAAAAAAAAATTTATTAAATTTTCTTTTAAAAATCTTTTTATAATAATATTATTATTTATTTATATATTTATATTTATTCAAATGATATTTATTCTTCAACATGGAAATAAAACAAAAAATTTTTTTCAAAACTCAATTCAAATAATTAATCAAGAATTTAATTCAAATTTTATTTCAGATCATTTTCAATATTTATTTAAACAATTTGATGATTATTCAAAAAAATGTAATTTTTTTTTTTTTTAAATAAAATAAATTATTGTTTTTATTTGTTTATTTAGCAAGATTTATTCTAATCGATGGATCAAAATCGTTAATGATAAAATCATTGAATAAATTGTTAAATGATTATTATTATATTGATGAATTAAATATTTATCTTAATAATATAAATAAATATATAAATGAAATAAATATATTTATTGAAAATGATGAAAATTTAAAAAATTTATTTCATAAAGTAATTATAACATATAAATATATAAATAATGATTTAATTAATTTAAATAAAAAACTTTGTTATTATATTGATGAAAATAATATTAAAATAGAAAAAAAAATTTTCAATTTATTTAATTTAGTTCAAGAAAAATTCCTTTTTTTTATTCAAATATTAAATGAACAAATTTTAAATAAATTATTTAAATCAACATTATTTAATCAAAATCAACAAGATAAAATTCAATCATTTATTTCATTAATATCAACTTTATTTTTTACTATTATTCCAATAATAACATTTGTTCCATTTACTTTTATTATTATTATTATTATTAATTATTTTTCTTTTTATTCAAATCATCAAACAAAACAGTTAATTATTTCATTCGTCTTCTTTTTTTTTTCGAGTAAATATTCTTTTTTTTTTATACTTTTATTAGATTTACAAATCAAAAATCAAAAAATGATAGTCAAAGTAAACTAGATGATCTCGATGTTAAACAACTATTATCATTACATATTCATAATGATGATTTACAAAACTACACAACAAATACTTACAGGTCAACAAATTTAACAAATTAATTCACTTTTTTTTTCTTTTTCGACTAAAACAGATAAAACAAATCACCATCAGATAAACTTTGTTTTTTCTCTAACAAAAAAATGTCAACTTTTTATTTTGGAATATTTCTCGATCAATGTTTTGATCTTTACTCGTCTTTCCTACACGATCAACAAAACATGTTTGATCAATCATCGTCTACAAGAAAACAAGAATAATTTGAAAATTTAATCAGGACTTATTGGAAAATAAAACTCTACAACGTTGTCAAGAATCACTTCTCATTTTATTATTATAGAAATAAGGAAAATATTTAAGAAGGCTACTAAAACGATATTGTCTCTCGTTACTTCACAATGTGCATTTCAGTCGGACACTAAGTAAAAAAAAATGAGAGTCACCTTTCTATCGATTAAAATAGTCAGAAATATTGTTTGAGACATGATCGATATAATGACCTAAAAGATTTCCTAATGAGTTTAAAGTAGAGAGGAAAAAACAACGAAATCGAAAAATTAGCTTATAAATACTCTTACTTAGAAGAAAATCAATATTTGACTAAATTAAATCAGTCAGTAGGCACGTCAAGTAGATATTCTTAGTCTTCCATAAACTAATTTTTGAAATGGCTAAATTCAGTAAAATGAACGTGTACCACTTAGCGCCAGTTCAAAATCCGGTCAAACTGTGTCGTAGTATTCTAATATGTGTCCTCTATTCCACAGTTAACATAAACGCTCCCCAGGCATACATCAGGTTTTTGAAAAAAGTCTTGATTTTTCCAGTAAACTTCTTTTTTTGTCGACTCAAAAGCATTTCTATTGAAAATCAATCTTATATTCGGGAACAACATCGAATCAAATATGGCGCAAGACATTTTCTAAGCAAAAATTTTTTTTTCGAAAAAAGTGTGGACAATGGTATACTTTAAGTGTTTTTCGACGAAAATTTCTTTTTTTTTTCAAAAATCTATTATTTTCTTAAAAATGATTTAATACATGATATGCAATCACTTTTAAGCAAAATAAACTCGTTTCTAACAACGAAAGGTAAATGTTCGTTTATCGTGCGAAAAGTACATTCTCGACATTCATTATCATAGTTTACTAGAATTTAAATAGAACATCTTTTTATTTTTATTCGACTAGAATAAAAAAGACTCATTTCACATATTTCTGTTCACTCAGACGATTATTTACATATGAAACTATCGGCGGTATAAGACATTCTATGCGGAACTGTTTACTAGAGGTTTTTCTCCAATTTGAATGACCGAAAATATTGATATTTAATTATTTTTTATTTAGATGTGTTCACAATATATCAACAAAGAAGCGTAAATCAAAAAAAATCCGAACTTATCATATAAATAGAAATGGTGAAAGAACATTTTCGTATTCTACTGATGATATTAATAAAAATAAATCAAAAAATACTCGTTCCCATCGTTTATTT